GATAAATAAAAATGACCTTAATCAGGACCAGGGACCAGCTCTGGGTGGACCTGGGGGTGTTGCACGAATCCTAAATGGTCTTATAATAAAAACCTGGAGCCAGACATTGGGGTGAACGCTGAAAGATGAGAGGAGACAAGCCACGGCGAACCTCACCTCGCCAGCCCCTCAGCCGATCCTGTCTCCACCAATCCTCCGCTGAAAGGACCGAGTTCCTGTCTCCTCACGCCTTACATGCCTTTCTCCGCCCAGCCATTTACTTCCTCCCTAGTGCTGGCATTAATGGCCTGTGTGCTTCCCAAATACCGGTAGCAAAGGTATGAGATCTCAAGTGCTGGGATTAATGGCGTGTGACTCCCAAACACTGGGATTAAAGGTGTGTGCCACCCCTGCCCGGCTCTGTTTCTCTCCTAGACTGAGTCAGTCTCCTGTAGTCCAGGCTGGCTTTGAACTCACAGAGATCCGGGCAGACCTCTGCCTCCCGAGTGCCGGGATTAAAGGCGTGCGTCACCACCGCCCGGCCTCTAGGTTTAACTCTGAGGCTCTGGCTCTGTCCTCTGATCTTCAGGCCGGCTTTATTTCTTAGATTACCAATGTCGCCACAACCGGAGTGCTGTGGGGGACGCCTTCCACCCACGGCCGGTGGGCCGTGTCCAGCCCCTGCGACTCCCCCGGGTCCCCGCCACCCCTGACATATCATCATGTGTGACTGTCACCCCCCACGTGCGTTGAGTCAACGGGGGGCTGAGGCCCAGCAAATCCGGGAATGACCCATCTCTGCATCAGGGCCACTCCGGGGGGAAAGCGGATGCGCCCGGGCGGTTGCTTAGCAACAGCATCCACCCGCACTGCGGCGGGAGGCCCTAGCTCGCTCTGCGCAGACTTCTCTGGGTCCTGATTTTCAGAGGAGTGGAACTGGGGCTGCTCGCCGGGGCTGGGGAGGGGGCCAAAGGGCACCACAGAGAATAAAAAGGACGAGGCTGGGTGGGACGGGGCTGTAGCTCAGTCGGTAGTGAGCCTGTAACTCAGTCATAGGGTGCTTGTAGCTCAGTTGCCCGGCACTCATGAAGCCCCGGGCTCTGTCGCTAGCACGAGGTGGCACGCCCCTGTCACAGCACTCCGGAGGTGCGGACAGAGGGTCAGGAGCTCAGTGTCATCGTCCAGCCACATAAAGAGTAACTTAAGCTAGCCTTGGCTACGTGAGACCCCTGTCTGCAAGAACAGGCTTCCACCGTGGCTGGGGACATTTCTGTGCAATGGGGCCAGTCCCTGCCCCAAGTGCGGGTGTCTGGGGCCAGGTCATCCCGGGTCAGGGTCTTCACCAGCCACTCTGGCATCTGTCCAGTAATCAATCCTGACGGGCAAATGGTACCTTGGGGGAAGACTGTTCTCAGTGGAGGTGCCCCCGGGACGCCAGGAGACTGTCACCCAGTCCACCCGCCCCACCGAGGGCCCGGGCCTCTACCCACACCGAGCGCTGAGGGAGAAGACGGTTGGTCCCGACCCCGGTGGCAGACCTCCCCCAGCAGAGTGCTGGGGACGCTGCTCAGGGTTGTTCCCGGTGGGGTGCCCTTGTCCCTGCAGGGCGCAGCGCTCCCGAAGCCTCCACCCACCATGCCAGGAGCACCGGCAGTGTGACAGCCGCACATGTTTCCGCCGTCACCCAGGGTCCCACTAACACATCCTGGTGGCTGAGAGTGTCACACTCGAGGTCCCCAGTGCCGGGAGAGTTTCCCGCGTTCTCAGCTGCAGACTGGGCAAGGAGAAGGTTCTAGGCAGCGTGGGCACCGCAGGGGCGCTTCCGGCGGGTCTCCGTGTGGAACCCCACAACGACACACGGGTGTGCCTGCCCTGGTGTGCCTGGTGTGCCGGCGGCGGCTGTGACCTTGTGAGCCGAGCAGGGGACATGTTCCCGGGACAGTCTGTCCACAGACACGGGTAATACCACAGTTCCAAGAGGCTGGGGACAAACGCAGAGGGCGACCGGCCCAGGGCGCGCGCGCGTGTGCATGTGTGTGTGTGTGTGCGCGCGTGCGTGCGCGTGTGTGTGTGTGTGTGTGTGCGCGCGCGTGTGTGTGTGCGCGCGCGCGTGTGTGTGTGAGCCACCTGCGCCAGGGCGGCCCCGCTCATGTTCCCAGCAGAAATGTCCCCAAACTGCAAGAAAAAAGGGAACTTGCAGAAAGAAATCCCGCCTCGCGCTGGGGCCGCCCCGGGGCGCGCGTCGAGGCCGAGGGCGCTTTTGTGCAGACTGGCTCCCAGGAGACCCTGCGGCCCGTCAGTCATCCGGGGCCTGCCGGTGCTGAGCCGAGTCCCGCCCCCACCGTGCCCTCCCGCTCGTGCCAGGCTCCCCACCCTGGGCGCGGGTGGCCTCGCACGTGGAGGGGGTGACCGCTCAGCCTCCCGTCCCCCCCAGGCACAACCCCGCCCAGGCCCCGGCGCGGGACGCACGCGTCTCTCCTGCCCCCTGGTGGCCACACGTGGGGCGCAGGCGCCGCTACCAACCCGGAGCGGCCGCCGGGCCTGAGGACCCCAGTTCGATTCCGCACCCTGGAGAGGCCCGGCCCCCTCCAGTTGTTCTCCGACCTCCGCGTGGGAGCGCGCGGCGCGCACACACACACACACGTGTGCAAGTGTACATACAGGTCACTATTTTTAAAAGGGTCCGTACTGGACGGGGAGACGGCTGAGTGGTCAGAGCGCCGTCTGCTCCTGCAGAGGACTTGGGTTCAAGTCCCAGCGCCCACAACGGCCGGTGACTCCAGCTCTGGGGCCCGAGGTCCTCACGGGGACAGCGAAAGAGGGATGCACGTGACATAAGTGAGGGAGGAGGGAGGGGGAGGAGGAGGAGGAGGGAGGGAGGAGGGAGGAGGGGGGAGGGGGAGGGAGGAGGGAGGAGGGAGGGAGGGAGGAGGGGGGGGAGGAGGAGGGAGGAGGGAGGGGGGAGGGAGGAGGAGGGAGGAGGGAGGAGGAGGGAGGGGGAAGGAGGAGGAGGGAGGAGGAGGGAGGAGGGAGGAGGGAAGGAGGGAGGAGGAAGGAGGGGGAAGGAGGAGGGAGGAGGAGGGAGGAGGGAGGAGGAGGGAGGAGGGAGGAGGGAAGGAGGGAGGAGGAAGGAGGGGGAAGGAGGAGGGAGGAGGAGGGAGGAGGGAGGAGGAGGGAGGAGGGAGGGGGAAGGAGGAGGAGAGGAGGGGGGGAGGGAGGAGGGAGGGAGGAGGGAGGAGGAGGGAGGAGGGAGGAGGAGGGAGGAGGAAGGAGGGAGGAGGAGGGAGGAGGAAGGAGGGAGGAGGAGGGAGGAGGGAGGGAGGAGGAGGGAGGAGGGAGGAGGAAGGAGGGAGGGGGAGGGAGGAGGAGGGAGGGAGGAGGAGGGAGGAGGGAGGAGGGAGGAGGAGGGAGGAGGAGGAGGGAGGAGGAGGGAGGAGGGAGGGAGGAGGAGGGAGGAGGGAGGAGGGAGGAGGAGGGAGGGAGGGAGGGAGGAGGGAGGAGGGAGGGAGGGAGGGGGAGGGAGGAGGAGGGGGGAGGGAGGAGGAGGGAGGAGGAGGGGAGGGAGGGGAGGGAGGAGGAGGAGGAGGGAGGAGGGAGGAGGGAGGGAGGAGGAGGGAGGAGAGGGAGGAGGAGGAGGAGGGGGAGGGGGAGGAGGAGGAGGGAGGGGGGGAGGGAGAGGGGAGGAGGGAGGAGGGGGGAGGGAGGAGGAGGGAGGAGGGAGGAGGGAGGAGGGAGGGAGGAGGAGGGAGGAGGGAGGAGGAAGGAGGGAGGAGGAGGGAGGAAGGAGGGGAGGAGGAGGGAGGAGGGAGGAGAGGGAGGAGAAGGGAGGGAGGAGGAGGGGAGGAGGGAGGAGGGGAGGAGGAGGGAGGAGGGAGGAGGGAGGAGGAGGGAGGGAGGGAGGGAGGGAGGAGGAGGAGGGGGAGGAGGAGGGGGGGAGGGAGGAGGAGGGAGGAGGAGGGAGGGGGGAGGGAGGGGGGAGGGACGGGGGAGGGAGGAGGGAGGAGGAGGGAGGAGGAGGGAGGAGGGAGGAGGGAGGAGGGAAGGAGGGAGGAGGAGGAAGGAGGGAGGAGGAAGGAGGGGGAAGGAGGAGGGAGGGAGGAGGGAGGAGGGAGGAGGGAGGGAGGAAAGAGGGAGGAGGGAGGAGGGAGGGGGGAGGACGAACACCCCGGGAGTCGTGGGCCCCCACTCTTGCGGGGCTCACGGGAGACTCAGGCCCGCGGAGTTGCCCCCCCCCGACCCTGCGGGCCGCTGAGGCAGAGGCTTCCCTGCGGGGAAACTGAGGCCCGGGTACCTCCTGCGGCCCTCTGTCCATGCACGCCAGGGTTCCCCACTCACGGCCGCCCGTGCCTTCCCTGATCACACGCAGGCCCTCCCTGTGCAGCCCAGGCTGGCCGCACGCTCGCCGCCCAGCTGAGGCTGACCCGGTCCTCCCCCGTGTCAGGTGACACGCCGCGGTTCGCTCTCACGGTGTGCGTCACACCAGAGCGCCTCCTAACACACTCAGGTTCGCAAGAGTGCAGACGGACGGAAGGACGCGGGATGAGGGTACACACGTGTGTGCAGTGCCCGCGGGGGCCGGGAGGGGCGCCGGGTCCACATACTCACTCACTACACACACTCACACACACTCCCACACTCACACACACTCACACACACTCACACACACACTCACACACTCACACACACTCACACTCACACACACTCACACTCAGTACCCCGTGTGTGCAGTCCCCGCGGGGGGCCGGAAGGGGCGCCTGTGTCGTATAATGAGACGCCGTATAATCACCACCACGTGACCACTCCACGTCTCACACACACACACACACACACACACACACACAACCCTCTCCTTGTCCTTCTCCGCAGCGGAGACCGCGGGGGCGGGTGTGCCAAGCCTGAGCAGCCCACCCCCGGGGTGCGGGAGAACGTGGCTGTGACCTTTGCCCCCTGACCGGTCCGGCCGCACGGCGCCCCACTCCCGCCCAGGCTTCACAGAGCGAAGCACCGAGCACAGCACCTACCTGCACCGAGTCCCACCGTCGCAGCACCGCGGCGCTTCCGACCCGAAGCCTTGGCTCCTGGAAGAGAAACGCTGGCGTTAATGTGGCGTCAGGGGTCAGGCCGGGGTCAGGCCGGGGTCAGGCCGGGGCGTGGGTCAGTGTGCACGGGGGTCAGGCCGGGGTCAGGCCGGGGGCGTGGGTCAGTGTGCACGGGGTCAGGCCGGGCATGGGTCAGTGTGCACGGGGGTCAGGCCGGGGTCAGGCCGGGGCGTGGGTCAGTGTGCACGGGGTCAGGCCGGGGCGTGGGTCAGTGTGCACGGGGTCAGTGTGCACGGGGTCAGGCCGGGGCGTGGGGTCAGTGTGCACGGGGTCAGGCCGGGGGCGTGGGTCAGTGTGCACGGGGTCAGGCCGGGGTCAGGCCGGGGCGTGGGTCAGTGTGCACGGGGTCAGTGTGCACGGGGTCAGGCCGGGGCGTGGGTCAGTGTGCACGGGGTCAGTGTGCACGGGGTCAGTGTGCACGGGGTCAGTGTGGACGGGGTCAGGCCGGGGTCAGGCCGGGGCGTGGGTCAGTGTGCACGGGGTCAGTATGCACGGGGTCAGTGTGCACGGGGTCAGTGTGCACGGGGTCAGTGTGGACGGGGTCAGGCCGGGGTCAGGCCGGGGCGTGGGTCAGTGTGCACGGGGGTCAGGCCGGGGCAGTGGGTCAGTGTGCACGGGGGTCAGGCCGGGGCGTGGGTCAGTGTGCACGGGGTCAGGCCGGGGTCAGGCCGGAGGGCGTGGGTCAGTGTGCACGGGGTCAGGCCGGGGCGTGGGTCAGTGTGCACGGGGTCAGGCCGGGGTCAGGCCGGGCGTGGGTCAGTGTGCACGGGGTCAGTGTGCACGGGGGTCAGGCCGGGGCGTGGGTCAGTGTGCACGGGGTCAGGCCGGGGTCAGGCCGGGGCGTGGGTCAGTGTGCACGGGGGTCAGGCCGGGGTCAGGCCGGGGCGTGGGTCAGTGTGGACGGGGTCAGTGTGCTCGGGTCCCGAACGCGGGTCCGGGCCGGGGCGCCCTCCCCTTCTCCCTCTCCCCCTCCCCCACCCCCCCCCCCCGCGGGCCGGGGAGGGAAATCGCGGTGGGCCCGGGCGGGTTGTCTGCAGACCCGGGGGGAGCCCAGGGGAACCGAGGCAGGGGGCTGCCTGCCTTGGGGCCGCGGGTCCGAGTCACTCCAGGCCACTTCTCGAAAGCCGTGTATACAGTGGAGCTCAGTAAGTGCTGCACGGGCCCAACATGATCACGGGAGGCACTTCTGCGCCCCCCTCCCAACCCTGACCCCCAAAGGCTGTTTCCGTGTTTGTGTTTGCACGGGGTGTGTGTGTGAGTGTGTGTGTGTGAGTGTGTGCGTGTGTGTCCGGCCGTCCGGCCGTCTGTCCCTCTATCTGGTTGGCTCTGGAGCTCGAACTCATGACCTCAGGCTTGGCGCAAGCCCCTTCATCTGCTGAGCCCTCTAGCCGGACCTTATTTTATTTTATTTTATTTTGTTTTTTTCGAGACAGGGTTTCTCTGTGTAGCTTTGCGCCTTTCCTGGATCTCGCTCTGTAGCCCAGGCTGGCCTCGAACTCACAGAGATCCGCCTGCCTCTGCCTCCCGAGTGCTGGGATTAAAGGCGTGCGCCACCACCGCCCGGCTGCTTTGTTTCTGAGGTAAGATTTCACCGCGTGCCCGGCCTCAGACTCCCAATGCCCCTGTCTCTGCTCCTTCCGCGCTGAGGTCACATGCCAGGCTTTGCACCCTTTGCCTGGGTTTATTTTCCGGGCTGGAGACCGGGTCTGTGCAGCCCAGGCTGCCCTCACTGTGTAGCCTAGGCTGGCTTGTGTGGTGCCAGGCCCGCCCCGGGCCGGTGCATGCTGGGAGAGCGCCCCACCCAGGCTCCCGAGCTGCCTTATTATTATTATTATTATTATTATTATTATTATTATTATTATTATTATTATTATTATTATTATTAATGATCGGCTTCATCAAACGCAGCTGCAGTCCCGGCTGCCGCCCGCAGGTGGCAGCGTCGCCGCAGGAAGCGGCTGGAAAGCTGCGGGGCCGCGCGGCCTGGGTGTGTGAGGAAAGGGCGGGAGCAACCTGCAGCGCTGCGGAGCCGGCGGGCGCCCTCCACACACTCACACACACACTCGCACACGCGCACATTCACACACACGCACGCACACTCACTCACACACACACTCGCACACGCACACACACACGCACACACGCGCACATTCACACACACGCACACTCACAGTCACACATGCACGCACACAGTCACACACGCACACTCACACGCACCCACGCACGCACACGCACACATGCACGCACACTCACTCACACACACACCGCTCACCTCATGAGAACCCAGAGGAGCAGCCCCAGGAGCCGGGGTCCCCAGAGCGCCACTCCTGTGCCCTGTGCTGCGGCCGGGGTGAGCGAGCAACCTGGGGTCACTCTGGGCCCCGAGGCGGCGCGGGCCAGGACCGCACTAGAACCCGGGACGCTCCGGGGTGGGCCCGAGTGGGCGGGGCCACGGGGGACCCCCGGGGTGGGCGGGGCCCTGGGTGGGCGGGGCCCAGGGTGGGCGGGCCCAGGGTGGGCGGGCCCACGGGGCCCAGGGTGGGCGGGGCCCAGGGTGGGCGGGGCCACGGGGACCCCCGGGGTGGGCGGGGCCCGGGTGGGCGGGGCCACGGGGACCCCCGGGTGTGGGCGGGCCCGGGTGGGCGGGGCCACGGGGGACCCCCGGGGTGGGCGGGGCCGCGGTACTCCAGGGCGGGACCGCGGGGCCGTGGGACCCCACGGCGGGCCCCAGGCCCACAGAGAGGGCACTAAGCAGCACCCGGCCTCACCCACTGCACGCCTGGCCCCAGGGTAACGGCCACGCGTGTCCCACAGTCCCGGGCAGGAGAGGAGGCCACGACTGCGGTTCTGTGACCCGCGGGGAAAGCGGTGCCATGAGGGTCCCTGTGACCCACTCGGGCCACGGAGGGCCACGAGGAGGTGACAGGAGAGAACACTACACACGCGCACTTGAGCACACGCAGGTGCATGCGCATGCACACACTCACAGACACGCGCGCAGGCACACGTGCACACTCCCAGGCACACGTGCACATTCACAGGCACACGCAGGCACACGTGCACATTCACAGGCACACACACACACTCACACACACACACACACACACACACACACACACACACACACGCTGGCCAAGTGCATGCAGCGCCCTCTGAGTCCAGAAGGGGTCACCAGAGCCCCACAACTGAGGACACAGATGCCGTGAACCGTGATGGTGCTGGAATCGAACCCCAGTTCCACTGGGAGAACAAACGATCCCCCCCACCAGAGCCGGGTTTGAAAGGCTGTTTTTTTGTTTCTGTTTTAATTACATTTTAGCTGAATTCTTTAAGCCCCAACAGCCACGGCCCCAAATCCATCTCCCCATCAACGGACTGTGATACCCGAAGGGTCAAGGTGGTTGAAAGAAGTGAACGGGCGGTGGTGGTGCACGCCTTCAATCCCAGCCCTCGGGAGGCAGAGCCAGGAGGATCCGAGTTCGAGGCCAGCCTGGGCTACAGAGCGAGTTCGGGGCCAGCCTGGGCTACGGAGCGAGTTCGAGGCCAGCCTGGGCTACGGAGCAAGTTCGAGGCCAGCTAGGCTACAGAGTGAGTTCGAGGCCAGCCTGGGCTACAGAGCGAGTTCGAGGCCAGCCTGGGCTACAGAGTGAGTTCGAGGTCAGCCTGGGCTACAGAGCGAGATCCAGAACGGCCTGTCTCAGAACAGCAAACGAAATCCATCCCATTGCATCCTGGGAACAGGCTGTCTCACAGAAACTCGGGCAGCCCACGGGACCGGGTCCCACCATGCAGTCCAGGCTGGCCTTGAACTCACCGTGATCCTCCCGCCTCAGTGTGACCTTGGTGTAAATCGACACTCTCACCTTGACAGGCTATAGAATAAAGGAGTGTTGGCAGGCCTGGAGGAGGGCCCTCCCTGCGGGTGGCAGTGCCACCCCGCGGCCCGGCGGCCCCTCTCTCAGCTCCCCGAGTGTGGACTCAGCCGCCATGATGGACGGTGCCGGGGGGGGGGGGGGGGCGTAGCCAGGGCTGCAGACAGTGCTGTGCACGCCGACCTCGGTCATTTTCTCTGGGCGCCCTGGGCCCTGGAGATGCTCACCAGAGTCCCTGGCCTCCGCCCGCCCCAGGCCAGGCACTCCCGAGTGGGGCAGCCACACATGTCCCCAGACACAGCCCGGTGTCCCCGGAGGACGCGGTCACCCCCGGGTGAGACCCTGTCCTCCCCTACACGTCTCTCAAGGTGACAGGCATACCTCCTCCAGCGGCTCGCAGCTCCTCCGCGGGAGCGGGCGGGCGGGCGGGACGGGCTGTCGGAGCCCCCTTCCCTTCCCACGCTGACATGGGCACGTGGCTCAGGCACCCGGTCTCCTGCAGGCTCGATATAGCAAACCGGGGCCCGTCTTTTGTGCCACATGAAGCTGTCAACCTCATCACCATAGCAACCATCTAAATATGTCACCCAGGAACACTGATTGCCAAGGCAGGGAGCAGAGGGTGATGGCTTCCAGGGGAAGGGGTGCGGGGTGCGGGCAAGACAGCACGAAGCACGGGGCCCCAGGGCGCCGGCGACTGGACCCAGAGCTGCTGCGCCACAGCCCTGAGGGGACAGGCCAGGGCAGGACCGCGCGAGCGAAGGGCCGACCGCCAGCCGTTCAAGGTCTCCTATGCTTTGGGCGCCGCACGCATGTCGCCGCCCAAAGCCTCTTAACCTGTAGGCCAGGCTGGCTTCAAACTCCTGGAAATCCTCCTGCCTCAGCTCCCGGTTCTGCAATGGCGAGCACGTGCCACCATGTCCCCACCTTCCAGCTAAGGTCAGCATCGCCCAGGTGGAGGCTCCTGCCCGCCTCAGGATCCTCGCACCCTTTTCCACTCAGCTGGAAGACAACCGAACCTCTGGTTCTCGGTCAGGACAGGGTCTCCCTGGGCCCCGGGCACACTGCGGGGTGTGGGGACGTCAGCAAGTCCCCGGCTTCCCCTGA